CCAGGTTGAGAACCGCTGCTCTAGAACATGGCCATGTAGCCCAGAAAAACCTACAACAACCCAGTGATTCCAGCCATGAAAGCCTTTGACAATACAATATCATCTCTTCCCGGTGGAGACTGCTGACTCAAATGCCATAGGGGCAGTAAATCCATTCCATATTTTGTCTACATTTAAAGGAAACGTTTCTAGATTGTTTACCTGGTGCAGATTCATGGCTATTAGCAGACAATAGAGGATGCCTAAATCTGAAGATAGAGACTTTTTCTCTAAAGAAAGCATTACTAAAAATATTGGGTTGTTCAGAAACTTGTGTTGCTTCCATAACAACAGTAATTTTTTTTCTCCAAAAGAAGGGAAAGTTGCAGAATTAGTGCGCTTTGACAGATGGCTACAGAAAAAAAAATTGCACAATCCACCCCCCCCCCCCCAATGATTTTTTGCAAATAGCTGTAAAGATTCTTGCAATTATTTATTTATTTATTTATTATTCGTTAGAGATCGAATTATTTTGAACAATTTTGCCAGGCGTGAGCTTACTCGGTTGCTCAGTCTACCTGCCCTGATTGTCACAAGTCTGCCCATTCAAGATGGTGAATATAGCACTGAATGAAACATTAAGAATAATCACAGGATGTCTCAACCTACACCTGTTGATAGACTCTATAAGCTAGTTGGCATTACCCCCCCCCCCCCCCCGATGTCGATGGGAAGTTGCTGCCAACTATGAGAGAAATAAGGTTGAACACTGTGAAAACCATCCAGTGTCAGCTTCCTCCCAGTAGACTCAAATCAAGGAAAAGTTTCATAAGAACTACCACTCCTCCTAATATTCCCCCAGCAACAGCAAATGTATCCCTCTGGGCAGCTAAACCAGGAAATCCCAACTGGATGGCCTCTCTCTAGGGGCAAACCAAGAATGGGCAATTTGGAAGCCTGTGAACAGACTCAGAATTGGTGTTGGGAGATCAAAAGACAACCTGGCTAAATGGCACTACCTAGAAGAATCCTCCATCTTGTGCAATTGTGGAGCAAAACAAACAACTGCTTGCCCACAATGCCCTGCTTGAGGCACAGAGGAAGAACTGTTTAAAATTACAGACAATGCGGTAGCTGTTGCCGGTTTTTGCTATAAAATTATTTAGCTGCTTGTGTTCCCTCTATTTTATTAGTTTTATAGATGTTTATTTATGCAATGGGTTGTTGTAGGTTTTTTCGGGTTATATGTCCATGTTCTAGAGGCATTTTCTCCTGATGTTTCTCCTGCATCTATGGCAAGCATCCTCAGAGGATGCCTCTAGAACATGGCCATATAGCCCGAAAAAACCTACAACAACCCAGTGATTCCGGCCATAAAAGCCTTTGACACTACCTATTTATGCAATGCTTTTGATACAAAATAAAAAATCTCAATTTGGTGACAAGATGGCTATCCTTAAAGTGAGGAGGAATTAAGTAAGCAAGTAATGTCAGCAAGCCTTTGCATAGAGTTCTCCTTGTCAAACTGGGAATCAAGCACAGAAAATGGCTTAAGATGCACAAAGAGATGTGAAGCACCCAGTGCATTGCAGGAAAATATATTGCCAGCCATTTTATGGAATATTTCCACTTGCTGCTCCTTTTGATTACTAATGGAACATACATCAACATCACTAGGTCAGATCCACTTCATGAACAAAGCATCCAAATTGTCACCATGCTTAAAACCAAATTACTCCTCTGTGCTCAGAATGACAATCCACAATTTCTATTTTGTTCTCATGAAAAAAACTTCCTTGAATTTCTCAAATATACTTTTATAATACTTTCCCACCATATCTTCAAGGGAGTTTGCAAGAATGAAATAATAGAAATTTAAATACAAAAATATTGTTCCTTAAAGCAAAATAGCGAGAGGGCATACCATATGAGACATATCATTAAGTAGATATACTGCTTGTACACACTGCATAGAGGCTCACACAAAGCTCCTATTTGTGGAATGTCAACCACTGAGTTAACCACTTCAAAGAAAGCTGGAGGTATTAGCAACAGTAGTTCAGTTGTAGCCATAGAAGATTTCAGGCTATTTGTAAGCACACAGTCATCTTCTGTACATGTGACATTGATTTTTGTTTTATGATACTATGGTTGCCTTTACATCTAGAAGCTGCAATCCTGCCTTCAACCATCTAGAGGTCATCAGAACAGACAAGAGTGTACAAGGCATAGTTTGATCCCTGCATATAATACAGAAATTACCACTAAGCAGACGTCCTTTGGTTTCCTACATTTTTCCCTACATAAAAACTCTCTGTCAACAGACAATCTCCATTAACACCAAAGTGCTCACAAACTCAAGATCCGTATTCCAGTTCCAGCCAAAGATGTCTGCAAACAAGCTGTTACTGCCATATAAATGTTTAAGCCCCTTAAGAGATACAGTGGAAAACAAGTAATAACAAGAAATTAACGTCGAAGGGCAGAGTTGGAAAGTTCAGGACCATTCACACAGGTTTGTGCTATGCTTGGCTTCTTATTGGCATACAGTAAAATGTACATGCACACAGAAGCAACAGGTAGTTTGAAATGCTCAACCTGTATGTCTGTGTGTATGTACAGAATTGGCCAAAAGTCACAAAGGTGTCTGATGTTTTACTAACTTTTTGAAAAGATTTTATACATAACATAATATGCAGGGGCGGCTCAACCCATTACGCAAAGTAAGCATTTGCAGTATAGTTCATTTTGCCCAGGGGCGCTCTTGGGGGGAAATAGACCTTGACATATGCGAGCTGTACTTACTGGGATGTATAGTTCACCTACAATCAAAAAGCATTCTGAACTCCAATGATGGAATTGAACCAAATATAGCACACAGAACTCCCATGACGAACAGAAAATATATATCAATGATTGGGGGGGGGGGGGATACTGTTTGCTTACCATTGAAAATTACCTAGGGCTGCCTCAGATAATATGTAATGTACTGTAATGTTATTTCTCATATATGATGCTATGGTACAGTACTGGACTTAAAAACTAGGGCTGGGCGGTTTTGTTCGTTAATTTCGTAATTCGTTATTAATTCGTTATTTTTTTTGATAACGAAGCGATGTTGAACCATTCAGGAGCAACTAAAAATTGAAACGAATTGAAAAATTGTTTCATAATTGTTTCGTAATTGTTTCGAAATCGTTTCAAAATCGTTTCGAAATCGTTTCGTTATTATTTCCGCATGTCTGGTGCAAGTTTTATAGTTGTTGTTTGTTTTATCAGTGAAAAAAAAAATAATTATCACACCAACAGTCAACAACAGAGGGAGAGGGAAGCTTCAGAAGTTCCCCCTGTCCTATTTGGAGGTTTTTTTAGCATATTGTGCGGTCGCGTCCGCCATTAACGAATAGATTCGTAATTGTTTCGTAATTGTTTCGTAATTTCCGAAATTTCGTAAATTTCGAACTTTTTTAAAGAAAAATTTCGGAATTCTTTTAAAAATCGAAACGCAAAAACCCCCTAAAAACGAATCGAGTTTAGAAACAAATTTTTCCATGGTTGCCCAGCCCTATTAAAAACAACAAATAAAGGAGTTATTAAACACTGAAACCCCGTTGTGATTTTTGGACCTCCTGAATGTGTGGAAAAATGACAGCTGCACAGTGAGATGAAATGAATACCACTGTGCCATCAAGTTGTAAGACTAAATGTATAATTGGATCCTACTCTGTGTATGAATGAGCAATATGTATTAGACTTGGTTGATCCAAAAAACAAAAAGGTTCAAAACTCGTTTCGGATGTAGGGGGGTGCTGGTTCGATTCGGAATTGAATTCTGATTTTTTTTTGAAAAAAAATTGGAACTTTCCAGAATTTCTGAAACACTTTTGTTAATGGAGGACATGATTACGCAATAGTGTCTTTTTAGGCAACACAGAGCAAACAAAGAAAAAAACAAGCAGCCTTGAGAGTTTTAGGGGCCTTTTGAGCTGATTTCACCAGTTAGGGAAATATAGGCAGAAAAGTATGAGATTTCTAGTGTCTTCTTAGACAACTCACAGCAAACAAAGAAAATAACAAACAGCCCTGCCCTTTTTGCCTTGGAAGTTGATTTCACTACTTTGGGAAGGAGAACTTGTGTTCAAAGGGTGGCTTGAATTGATGGGAGATCTAGTTCTTTGGGGGCAATGTGCAACACAAACTAAAAATCACTGAGGCCAGAGAGACCAGCTACAACGTTGGCTTTTAAAAATGTTGGAGTGAGTGCTTTGCTCCTTCCACCCACACCACTCACCCACACACTACCCTCGCGGTGCCCACCCTACCCAAACCCCAATAGCAACAAGACACAAATGGCAAGGCAGGCTGCCCACTGCCCAGCCAGCCAGGCAGGCAGCCAAGCACGGCTGGTAATAGCCCTTTTCCCAGCCCTTCTTCCTTTCTGCTGACCTTGAAGGAGCTGGGGGTGGTGACGGTCGACAGGGAGCTCTGGCGTGGGCTGGTCCATGAGGTCACGAAGACTCGGAGACGACTGAACGAATGAACAACTTCCTTTCTGCTCGCTTGCTTGCCCGCCATGCTCTTCTTCCAACCTCCCTTCAACACAACCTCCCTTGCCTTAGTCTTTGTCTTTGTCTTTCCCTTCTCCCTTCCCGACTCTGAATGAGACTCTGAGGCATGTGCTCCCCTTTATATACAGCAATGGCTGCCAGTGCCGAAATTCCTCCCCTCCCCAAAACTTCTCCCCTGATTGTCTGGGAGGGGAGGAAAGAGCCTCCCAGCCTCCTATCAGGCTAGAGGGCTCAAAATATGCTAAATCATTTCCGACTCACTTAACAAAAATGGCGGAAAAAGCTTTGGAAGGGCAAAGGGACTTCCGGGTTTTTTAAATGCTTCGAAATCGCTTCAAAAAGGTAACTTAAATAAATTATTACAAATAATGAGTAATCCGATGCGGCTCTATCCATGCCTAATATTTATGTTTCAAGTACATAATACAAGTATGGGTAGAGTCCGATTCTTACCTTGACAGGTGTTGTTCTTCTCTTCATACCCTGGCTTACACATGCATTTTCCAATTGGCACCAGCCACTCCCCCTCAGCACTGCAGTGCATCCTGGGGGGTTCATCTGTCACTGAGTGATTCACACATGACCCTAAGACTTCCAGCAGCTGGGAAGAATCTGCTCCCGTAATGGTATCGGGAAAGATGGCCAGGTTCCGAACCACCACAGGGCACTTCTTGTAATACACCCGCACAGATACCAGTGCAATGCATGCCCCCACATCCTGGAAAGCAAGGTAAAATCCCTTTTTGGTCAGAGGCCCAACATCCCTCACTTCTGTGTTCAGCTTCATGACCCTGTCGCCGAGGTCTAGCTCTGTAAAACTCTCATCGGCTGCAATGGTATCAATCTTGATGTATTGGTTTTCTTTCACGTTCCTCCCATCTTTGTCATCTGTTTCAAAGTAGTACATATTAAATGTCTCTTTGCAAGTCCCAAGACCTCCAGGAAGGCTGTTACAGTCCCTAAGGGTAAATTTCAGTTCAATGAAGATCCGTGATGCTCCACTGTTGGAGATCCAATTGGTGAGGAGCCAGTTGTTCTGACTCTGTTCCATTACTCTACATACTTGATAGGTATGGATTGGAGCATAGTTTTCATCGACCTCGCCAATTTCTTCCCACTAGAAAATGGAGAAGGAGAGAAATAATAAAATAAGACCACAGCTTTTAAATAAACAACAGGTTGTGAATGCTAACAGTTATAGATTTAAAAAACTGGCAGACCTCATTAACAAAATATTCAACTAGGTAGGAGAAGCCAGCCCAGTACCCTTAGGCAGAAAAATCACTATGCTTGTATATTCTGATATCCCCCTCTTGTTCTATCAGTCCTGTTTATTACCATTGCCTCATACATTCCAGAGTTAAGCCTTAACACTGGAAGAGATTTAATATATCAATCAAAATGCCTTGTTACCTGGATTCTTCAATTTGAATAATTTTTTTGAAAAGCAAATGCATATAACAGCACACAGAGAAGCAGGAGAAATCTAATTTTGTCCTCTTCAGCAACCCACAGGTGGCTAATGTTTGAAGTTGCCTGTAGACACCAGGACTACTGCATTGCTACCATGAGAATCCCTTTATTTTTTACTACTTCAGTGATAAGTTCAAAACAAAATCCCTTATTTCTTCATTAAACAACAATAAATTATTACAATTTCACAGTTAGATATTCCCTGCATATTAAGGAATAAACTGCACAGTTATGCATTGTAGATAACTAAGGTAACAAAAACAGTCTCGTAGCATCGTAAAGTTTAACCGATTTATGCAGCAAAGCTTTTGCCTATGCAAGGTGCATCTATTTAGTAATTTTCTCTCATGCAAGTTGGTCACGTCAATTTCAATTTTGTTTTGTTTTAGTCTATTTAGCTGGAATGAATTCTTCCAATTCCATTCTGCCAATACCATTCCTTTCTATCAGTTCACATCATAAATAGTAACACAATACCCTAGTGATGAGAGATAAGCTTTCCAACAGGTAGAATGGGAATGCCTTTGGATGATCTTTGCAGCCAACAGTTCTCACAAACACTAAAGCCATATGAAGAGAGTTTCCTGCTAGCTATCATTCAGTATTCTTTTCACTTGCTCTGTTACCACCACCTCCTGCAAATTAGAATCATAGAATCATTGAATCAAAGAGTTCACCCCAAATCACCCCAGCATCTGTCAGGGGTGATTTGAATGCAATATTCCTGCTTCTTGGCAGGGGGTTGGACTGGACGGCCCATGAGGTCTCTTCCAACTCTTTGATTCATATAACTGCATCTAGAAACAGCAGCATACTGGTTGATATACACCAGGGGTCCTCAAACTAAGGCCCGGGGCCGGATATGGCCCTCCAAGGTCATTTACCAGGCCCTCGCTCAGAGCCAGCCTAAGTCTGAAACAACTTTAAAGCACATAACAACAACAATCCTATCTCATCAACAGGGGCGGCTCGTCCATTACGCGAAGTAAGCGGTCGCAGAACACTTTTTTTTGCCAGGGGCGCAGAGGCGCCTCTGTAAATACCCCTCGACTGCCACTTGAGGAGTGGCCCCTCAGCTCACAACAGCCTTAGCAGTCCGGGGGGAGCCTCGGCTTTCTTGCCTCGCTGCCGGGCGATCCTCTTCCCAAAGGGGCCGGGCCCTTGAGCCTCGCCTAGCCCCTCTCGTTCCTGCTCCACCCGGCCACCGGGTGCGCGAGCAGAGCCGGCGCTCAATCGTTCTCCGCGTTCGATCCCTTCCCCATGACCGGCTCCCTTTCCCGATCCCCCGGTGCTCCACCCGCCTCCTCTCCTCTCCCCAATCCGCAGGTGGGCCAAGGGGCGGAGCCGCCGCGCCTGGCCTGCTTCGGGTCCGGAGGCGTGTCTGAAGACCCCAGCGTGCGCACCAAAAGTCGCCTCTTCTCCTGACTTTCTCTTCAGCCATTGGGACCAAGAGAGAGAGAGAGAGAGCCCCTCCGGCTGGAGGTATCTCCCACCTCCGCTCCCTCCTTTGTTTTTGCGCCTACCTTCAGGAAAGGTGGGCATTTCCACCTCTCTCTCTCTCTCTCTTGTCCCAATGGCTGAGGAGAAAGTCAGGAGAAGAGGTGACTTTTGGTGCACACGCCGAGGTCTTCAGGCACGCCTCCGGACCCAAAGCAGGCCAGGCAAGGGAGCAAATTCGGCAAGTGTAGTTACTGGGATGTATAGTTCACCTACAATCAAAGAGCATTCTGAACTCCACCAATGATGGAATTGAACCAAATATGGCACACAGAACTCCCACAACAAACAGAAAATATATATCAATGATTGGGTGGGGGGGGGGTGCCAAAATACTGTTTGCTTACCGTTGAAAATTACCTAGGGCCGCCTCTGCTCATCAACTAAAAGCAGGCCCACACTTCTCATGGAAATACTAATAAGTTTATATTTGTTAAAATTGTTCTTCATTTTAATTATTGTACCGTTTTAAAGTGTTTTTTGCACTACAAATAAGATATGTACAGTGTGAACAGGAATTCATTCATTTTTTTTCCAAATTATAATCTGGCCTTCCAACAGTTTGAAGGACTGGGACCTGGCCCTCTGTTTAAAAAGTTTGAGGACCCCTGATATACACATATTGACCTATGATAGCATCATTTGGGTGATATTAAGGATGGCCATGCGGGAATGCTATATGCAGTCCAATTTGGATCAAGTTAATGATAGCAAATACCATGATCACTTTGCATTTGGGCAACATTTTATAATGTTCAAACTAATTCACTTCCTTTACCTTTTAACTCTTGCCTCTTACACAGGTCACTACAACTGGCTAAATATCACAGTTGTAGGGGGAGATGAGCTCAATGTGAAATTGGTTGTCTTAATCTCTATGTCTCGGGTGGAAAAGAACACCAGCCCATATACCCCTGTCCCATTTAAAGTCCTACCATGCTTTCTTTTATCAGAAAAAGGAAGAGCTACCATCCATTGGTGATGCCATTTATGAGATATCCCACTCCTTCCTGCAGAAGGGTGGAAGGAGGGGGCATATCCCAGTCAGGGTGGCCTGAAAGTGTTTTGCTTCTCTTTCCTCTTCACTGTGTAGGAAAGTGGGAAGAGGTGCAAAGTCTGGTATCCATCCAAATGCCAGATAGAAAAGCTCTACTGGGTGGACTAGATGGGGATCTGAGGACAGATAGCACAGGCAAGATGTCTGACCATCATCCCACAGAAGGCCACAGGTCAAAGCCACCAAGCCAAAATGGTTTCCCAATCATGCTTTAAAAGGGTTGAGTGGATCCATGACAGAAACTGGGGTTTAACTATGGGATTTCCTGATCAATTGTGACAAAACTGAAAAAGGAAAAAAAGGAGATGTTCATGCTTGCCAAGCTAGGCATGCAAGGACAGAATATGTTGTTGTTCATTCGTTCAGTCATTTCCAACTCTTCGTGACCTCATGGACCAGCCCATGCCAGAGCTCCCTGTCGGCCATCACCACCCCCAGCTCCCTCAATGTCAATCCAGTCACTTCAAGGATGCCATCCATCCACCTTGCCCTTGGTCAGCCCCTCTTCCTTTTTCCTTCCATTTTCCTCAACATAATTGTCTTCTCTAAGCTTTCCTTTCTTCTCATGATGTGACCAAAGTACTTCATTTTTGCCTCTACTATCCTTCTCTCCAATGAGCAGTTGGGCTTTATTTCCTGAAGTATGGACTGGTTGGATCTTCTCGCAGTCCAAGGCACTCTCAGAACTTTCCTCCAACACCACAGTTCAAAAGCATCTATCTTCCATCGCTCAGCCTTCCCTATGGTCCAGCTCTCACATCCGTAGGTGACTACGGGGAATACCATTGCTTTTACTATGCGGATCTTGGTTGCCAGTGTGATGAATATACAGCTGCTGAATTCTATCTGCTTGCATTTTAAAGAAAAGGGAACTGTTTCATAATTGAATTAGCAAATAGCCATTTGGAAGCTGCTCCCAATCAATTTAGTGTCATCGTTTCAAATGTTCCTGACATGAGGTGTTATTTTTTAAAAAGAGAGAGAGAATATGCAGGCAAACCAAATCATTTACCAAATTGTTAAAATAGACAATATAGAATGGTAAGAGATCATTCTGTTGCCGTCTTCTCTCCCTTCAATCCACCACCCAACTAGTCATTTATCTCGGTCCTTCTTTTCCTGCCCCCTATTAATTTCCTCTGAAGATTAACATTACTCCTGGTACATGCAGAGACAGCTATATTAATTTCCAATTACATTAACGAATTGCATCAGGAGAGGAAATTGAGAGGAGAGGAGAGAGAGAAAGGGGAAGTGTTTGGCTAGACTTCCAGTGGAATGGCAAGGCAAATCACTAATAGGTTGTGCAGCACAGAAGTATCTTTATGGGAGGCAGCCTCCACCCATCCCTACATGCTGCAAATTGGCTTATAACTTTACTATTTAATTGCTTATCATTACTCAATTTATCAGTTAAATGTGTTAAATGATATATTTTATTAATTTTTTAATCTAGTTAGTTTGGGTTATTTTATAATTATATTTAGATGTTATTCATTTACTGTTTATGATTTGATGTTTTGTTATGTCTTGTTGGCATTGAAAGTTTGCCATTTTTCCTGTTGTACACTGCCCTGTGTCCCCTCGGGAAGATAGGGTGGGATAAAAATAAAGTTTTATTTTTATTAGCCTTAATTTAATAATTGATGGGCTAAAATTAAGTATTATTATTAATACCACAGTTATTCATCCGCCGATGCCCACTACATCACTTCACCCATTTAGTCTAGGGGATTCAGTGATGATTAAAGATTGGAAGCTTGAACCGCTGGGCCCAAAATGGAAAGATCCGCTCACTGTTCTTCTCTCCACCCCTACAGCTGTGAAAGTGGAAGGAATACAGGTGTGGATCCATTGCATGAGAGTAAAGAGGGCTCCTCCTGAGATAAGAAAGATAATTCTTTCTTATCTAAAAGATAAGACCAGTATGGTCGTTGCTCAAGCAAGTCCAGGTCAGTGCTAGGGATATGAAGTTCCAGTAAGTTTCCATCTTAGCTGTTTGCATGCATAGAGAGCCAATAAGAATACAATGAACAAGACCAAGACAATGGAAAAGACAAAATGTTAACACCAATCAAAACTGTGCTGTT